GAGATACACAACTAATACATAACTAGAAAGGATTATAAATTTTCCGCTTTTTAATTTATAGAATAATAGATCAATTACTGAAGAAATGCATTTATGATGCGCAACGGTTGTTAACAAAACATATTGAATCATTACATTTTCAAGAAACGGGAAAAACTAGACGTCGACGTTTTACTTTCAAGCGAATTAGATCTAGTAAACGTGAACGCGTGAATATTGTAAATTTTGCAAATATCTGAATCATTTCTAGTAGTCAATTTGTTTTTCTGATAGTGCTTAGGTGATTTCTATTGTTTTATTTAGTTATTTATTTATTTTTTTTTGTTGGTAATTGTTCGCTTTATTTTGTTTTTAATATATTTTTTGGTCACATGTCTTGTATTCAAGTGTTTATTTGTTACACAGAATTCGAAATCTCTTAAATTCTGTGTGTGAGAACCCCAAAAATGTAAAAATAACTCAGTTAGAACACGAGATATGGGCAGTTTCGTTCCTAACAGGCCTTGCCGACAGGCGATTTTTCAACAAACGCGATTTCTGGAAACCTATTTTTGACCTATTATCGATTATCTTAGACGTTTCCATTCTGTTCATTCCTTACAGGTTATACTACCCGTTCACACGTTATGTGTATCGTTTCAGCATTAAAGAGGATGGTCCCTGGCAATGCAGTACACCCGCCGAGCTATGTGCCTAAGGAAAGTATCACTTCGTGGAGGACTTTCTAAGAGAAATTGGCTCGTATACACAGAACATCAGAAGAAGGGGTTCCCAGACCTAACAAGCTCGAGGCTGCGTTAACACGGTTTATTAAAGGCCCTAACCTCCAGAGGCTATCCGAAAGGCCGGCACTCCCCGAGGTCGACACACGGGGGACTTCAAATACCTTAAAGTCTATGAAATATAAATCGCAACGCTTAGAAAATCACAAGTCAACACCCAAAGTCAGACATCGTCGGTTCCCAAGTGTTGACCAAGGGAAGTCATCCCCCTCGGACAGCCTGAGATGTCTGACAATTCAACATCCCCACAACAAAGGGACAGATAAAACTGTGCCAGTATGGTCCTTGCCAAGCCTGAACATACCACCGAATAAACGATGGCTCTAGTCCTGTGAAGACTATTTATTTACCCCAGAAGTCGACGTTGTCTAGACATTGGTCTTGCCTGTTTGCTGGACAGAACCCCGGGTCACCTCCCATAAAATGGTCGGTTCTGGAAATTTCAACCCAGTCGACCCCCCAGAAATGGCTGGTATACACATTACACGCGGAAAAAACCACGAAAACTCCCTTACATCCAGCTCCTTCGCCGGGATTCGAACCCCGGAACGAACTAGTGTTAACGCTCGACCGCTAGTGGGCTCTGTCCATCTACAGTACCTACCTCTCTGTGTATTTCAGCTACTGAGCATTGAGGAGCGTGGATGGAGAATAATAGCAAAATTACAGCAGCGATCAGTAAAATAAATAGCTGCTGTTACGTATTCTGCATCACTTATTCATACAGAATGCCTGCGCACGGACATGCACTTAGCTCGGCACAATTCTGTGCTTATGTTTGTTTTTAATACGAACTTATTATCAACCTCTTATCTGCATGTATATTCATTACTGATGCTCCACATTTATGTAAACTGCATAGCTTTTTAGGTTGTACTGTACATAGTTTTTACCGTTGATATACATTCTTGCAGTGCATAATTCATTTGCAGTCTGTAGCAACTATTACTGGGTAGTCTGTGGATATTTGCCTTATTTTTTCCTTTCTCTGACCATTCCCCAACTTTTCATTGCTTTTCTTTCTTATGTTATATCTCTCATACCGGCCTAGATTGTTCTTCTCTGATTTTTCCCCATTGATTAAGTAATTAAGCTGTTGCTTACGTAGTTTGCAGGAAAGCTGCCCTTCCTAGTGGCAGGAAGAGACAGGAGGAGCCACACCAACGTTTAAACTTTCGGCTTTTATGCTGTATTTGAGGGATACTATCCACCACCAGCCAGGCATTTATTCGAATAAATATATAAATATATAAATGGTTACAATGAATATATAAATATGTAAAAATAGTAACATATGAATTTACATTACATAATTAAATTTTGAAGATAGAATAAAAGTCCATATTTAGAAAGTGGAATAAAATTCAATAATTTTATGTTCATAATAGTCCGCATTTGATGGGTAGAATATGATTCAATAGTTATATAATTTAATATTCAATAGTCATTGTCGATAGTCAATAGTCAAAAATGATAAATATTAGTCAATAGTGATAAATTATAGTTATTAAGTTTATAGACTCTTTCAGAACTTCAATAAATTGATAATAAATAAATAAAATAGGCTTATAATAAATTAGTTCATATTCAATGGTCATAATCTATTGTCATTGTCGATAGTCAGTATTTAAAAGTGAATAGTGCTTAATAGTTATTGAGTTCTTAGACTCTCTTAGAACTTCAATAAATTGAAAAGTCAAATAGGCTTATAATAAATTAGTTCATATTCAATAGTCATAATCATAATCAATAGTCATTGTAGATAATCAATAGTCAAAAGTCAATAGTGATAAATTATGGTTGTTGAGTTCACAGACTCTTTCAGAACTTCAGTAAATTAAAAAGTCAATAGGTTTATAATAAATTAGTTCATATTTAATATTCATAGTCAATAGCCATTGTCGATAATCACTAGTCAAAAGTCAATAGTGGTAAATAATAGTTGTTGAGTTCATAGACTCTTTCAGAACTTCAATAAGTTGAAAAGTCGATAGGTTTATAATAAATTATTTCATAAGATCTTTATTATGGTGCTTTTAGGTTATCGCTATTAATGGATAAATAGTTGATGAAAGTCTTCAGTTTATTTCTAAAGTTGTTGTTTTTTCGCAATTTGTTTAAACCACAGTTGAGCTGATATTGTAGGGTATGAATTGAAGTGAAGATTATTTGTACACTCATGTCCTAAGGATAATGCAAAATCAGGCAAAGGAAAAGTTAGAAGCAAAACAAATTTGACTTATTTATAAAGCTTATTTATTAAACAAAAGGTAAAGAGCAGAAAAAGATGCTATATGTTTGATATTATTAAAAAAAATTAGCGATTTTTTTCTCCTTGGAGCAAATTACAAAAAAACCTATTTACAAAAAACCAATATTACATGGTTGGTATGATTGTTAATACATTGTATGTCTCCCAGACGATGCAATACAGTCCGTACAACGCCTAGGCATGCTGAGTATCAAATTATCGATCTGATCTTGGGGGATATTACACAAAAAGCAATGCTCTCCGAAGTACCGGTAGACATGTAGGAGGAGGTTGACATGGCTGCAACACGTCGGCCAAGCATATCCCAAACGTGCTCTACTGGATTCAAGTCCGCTGAGAATGCTGGCCAGTCCATACGGATGATATCCTCCGATTGAAGGCATTCGCTTACGACGTTTGCACGGTGAGGACGGGCGTTGTCATCCATAAACACAAATTGTGCGCCCATGGCGCTCCGAAACAAACGTACATATCGTTCCAGAATGACGTCCCCATAGATTTGGCTTGTCATGGTTCCAATTTGAACATGCAGGTCAGTTCTGGAACCCAGAATAATTCCACCCCAAACGAGCACTCCTGCACCACCGTAACGGTGTCGTTAAATGATGTTTTCTTGGTGGTAACAGGTACCTGGAGGTCTCCATATGAAAGTCCGGCGAGAATCAGACTGCAAGCTAAACCTGGACTCGTCGGAAAACATCACATAAGCCCACTGTTGCGGTGTCCACAATGCATGCTCTCTACTCCAGGCTAACCACAGGCGACAGTGAGTTGCAGTAAGTGGAACGCATCTGACAGGTCTACGAGCATATAGACCAATCTGACTTAAGCGTCTGTACACGGTCAGCCTTGAAATTGTAGTACCAGTGGCTGAAGAGAACTGACGAGACAGGTCTGAGGCTGTGCTCCGCCTGTTTCTTTTGGCTGCAACTGCCAAATACCGGTCCTCATTCGGCGTTGTAACTCTGGGGCGACCTGTGCTGTAACGTCTACTCACATTACCATCATCTTGGAATCGTTGCCAAAGCCTGGAGATGACACTCTGGGCAATTCCAAGTTTGTCTGATACTTCCAGTTGGGTACGCCCATATTCCAGACGGCCGGTAATTCTACCACGTAAAAAATCATCCAAATGCATCCTTTGTGTCATAACTATTCGGCTATTGCACTGAAATGCTTATAAAGCGCCTGCGAACAATTATACTTCATTGCTTGTATTCCTTATATATCACTCTCTTACACTCTCGTCATTGTGAAGTACCATCGGTGTCATCTGGTTACTTCCTGAAATTTGCATATGATTCTTGAAGATGTGTGCATGATTTTACAGGTGATACATTTATTTTACAGTTCGATTTCCGCGTGACTCCGAATTATCCTTAATTTATGGACATGAGTGTAATTTCACAATTGAAGAGGTAATGATCTATTGTACATTCTTGTCTCCAAATGCACCAGTTTGTATGATGTAGACCAAATTTATTTAGATATGCTGGAAAAGGACCATGTGACGTAAGAGGAAAGGTTATTGCACGATTGGAGGAAATAAATTTCTTGAAGGAATTGGAATAAATAAAAGGTTCTTCTGCCTGTAGTACGTGTAGACCATTGATGTTTCCATAATTTTAATAAGTCGTATTCTACTTCCTAGCGGCACACAGAACTTTCAGCTTTATATTTAGCTCCTATCCTATTTAAGGTTTGTATCATCGTTCAATCAGTGATTCTATCCAAACATGCAGAAACACGATCAATCAAAACTTGACATCCAAATTATCAATCAAAATTTTCCTTTTCGAGAACCCGAAATCTTATTTGCAAAAATCATACAAAAAGTAATATATAGATATATGCAATACATACGATATTGTTAATAGAAATTATTAGGCCAGATATAGACCAGATACGAACTGGGTACCATTCAATTATGCTAGTGAATTACTCACCTTGAACGAGCTGAGGAATCCAATGGTAACATTGGGTTTGGAGGTGTCGCAGAGGGTCTTTTCCAATGGGAAGCTGAACCGGGTCAGATCCACAACAGTCCGGTGAGGTTGGAGATCTGCTCCCGCCAACGCCAGGACAAGGCTTGTTACCAGAACCAACACGGCCATGCATTGAAAGTGTTCATTACACTCGTGTAAACACCATACGTTCCTTCCAGATACTGTTCCTTCCCATGTAGGGCGTACATTTTAAATATACTTTTCGAAATAAATGACCCGCCAATTAGCTCTCAGTGCAGGCTAAACCCATGGCCATTTGATATTTTTGGGAAGCTGCTGAAGTTGAAAAAGTATAACAGTTATTCCACACGTCTACCTTGAAGTATGATTTCAATAAGTCTTCCTGAACTGATTTGATGCCTAGGAAAAGAAAATAAATAAAATAAGAAAGTAATTTCACATTATAGAAGCAATCAATTGTCACATAACAAAAGAAAAATAAAACATCCAGGCGTTTTCAACCTTTCATGGCTAGGTCAAAATCAATCGAAATATGTGTTTCCGGTTAGCGGTATTTTCATCTTAAAAACGTCTTTTTTGGTGAACAACAAGATAAAGTTTATCAAGAAAATAATTGCAACTCGCTGTAAACTTTAAATATAAAAATCAAAATTATAACTATAATGAGAACAAACACAACTGAATGAACTTTATTTTTCTTTTCGATATAAATGGCTTCCCTGACGTTTAACTTGCAACGTCAATTTATTTAAGTCTGACTTATAACTAGTCGTCTTAAAAATAATACATGAATCTGAGTTTTCGGTACTTAAGCTGCTCCAATTAGTAATTAAAATAAATTTGACGTGCGAAAATAGTTTTCGCATTTATAAGTTGAACCGAATAGGAACAAAAAGGGAAACCCAATTTTTTTGGAATTACAGATTACTGATTGGCGTTGCCAAAGTTATCGATTTCTTCTTGAAATTATGTTATAATTTTTTAAAATGCATGTTCGTTATTGCAACTTTATAATCAAACAAAAATGTTGTTGTTTGTTTCCAGTTTGTATATTTTTTACGTATTCTAAGTGTTCGTTTCATATTTATTTTCATATATTATTACACCAAAGGCGTCAGCCCAAAAGGCATTAATTTCGTTTTGGCATTTTGCGTTGAATCACTATAAACGGTGTATCACTTTCCAAATTGTTGCCACCAAGTGTTAGAGTACTGCATTGTATTTAAAGAAACTAAATAATGAAGAATCTGCATAAATGTATATATGTTTCCTCGCACTGTGATAAAATAACGGCACGTACAGCCATCGAATTTTGAATAACATAATCCTTCTTCCGAATATGGGCATCTGGAAGGCCTAATATGGAATTTGTTTTATTATCTATTTCATTCATATTTTGTAAAACGTTAACGAATTTTTGATTAACAAACCCAACGATTGTAAAGCGAGCAATTGCAACAGTGTACGAAAAAAATATTATCTCCAACGCGCGAGACTGTGTATCGGAAATGCTAAAGGTATGCTCTCTTTAAATATTTTGTGATATTGCTGTTGAATTGGATTTTACGGTTTTAAAGAACGTGATATTTAATAAATAAGGTAACACACTTTCTGATGTCTTATATACTTTTTTTTCAGAACACAAACCAGTAACTTGATATTATTAAATGGGTCACTCGGTGACCGGCAGGTCATAGGTTGCCGAGGCCAGCAGGAAACCCTTGCGAACGCGGGAGTTTCGATATTAATACACTGCGCGTCCGGCAAAATAAAATAGCGTTCCCCAAAGTAAACTTTCTATAAAAAAAAAATTACGTATAATTTAAACAAATGCAAATGCAGTTATAAATAAAAGGAAAAAAACGAAGTAAATATTCATTGAAAAGATTTTAATCACAGATTTAATAAGCAAGCCATACAATTATTTTTTTAAAAAGCTGGTAAGTTTTGTTTGGGACAATGACAATCTTGTAAGAATTGCTCGGTACGGAGCGCAGAATTCTACAGTGCCTCTCTTAAAGTGACTTCTTCCTTCATTTGCGTCAATTTCGATTGAAAAATAAGATAGTTTCTCTGCCCAAAGGGACAATTTGCCTAGAAGGGCTATTAATTCCCCTTCTGGCATTTTGTGTCGTCCACTACAAAACGGTGTTTCACTTTTCAGATTGTTGCCACCAAATATTAGAGCCCTGCATTATATTTAAAGAAATTCAATAATGAAGAATCTGCATGAATGTGTTCTGGCACTGTGAAAACAAACGGTACCAAGAGGCATCACATTTTGAATAATGTAGTCTTCCACTCGAATATTGGCATCTGGAAGCCCAAATTTGGAAATTTGTTTATTATCTATTTCGCATTTTGCAAAACTTTAATGAATTTTTAATTAACGAACTCAAGGATTTCAAAGCAAGAAATGGCAACGCTTCAGAGGAAAAAAAAAAAAAACATTCGTATCTCCAGTGCTCGAGACTGTGTATCGGAAATTGTAAAGATATGCTAATTTTAGAATTATTTTGCGATATTGCTCTTGAACTGAGTTTTATGGTTTATGTACGAAGAATATGATATTTAATAAATAAAGGTATCACACAAAATCTTAAAAAACGCCCCTTTGGACGAAATTTAAAATCTGAAAGCTTTTAGATTGTTTTAAATTATTATAAGCTTTTATTTAGTTCACTTATGATGTTTCACTGTGGGCGAAATTTTATCTCCCATTTTAAAGCCATTTCCTGACAGATGAAAATTTGTGTGTACATTGTTTCTCGATGATAATGAAACGTGATTAAGTCATGTTTTTCAAAATTTAGATTTTTTTATTTAATTTTAATAATCAGACTATTTTTTTCACATAGTTTCTCGAACAATTTAACATATCACAATTTTACTGCTTGCCCCATCGAATACAGAAAAGTAAGAAAAAAAATTCTCACTGGAGCTTGTGTGGGAATTGTAACTTAATTTCTGAATTTTTGAAAATATCTCGAATTTTGTTAGACTACTTGACGTTTATGACTCATTCATGTGAGGTATTCCCGGGGCTTCACAAAGTAATTGAGCCCAGCCCGTAGCGGTACGGAGCCGCCAATATCCGATCCAACTCACGGCTGAATTAAATATCAACTCAATATATCAGATATTGTAACGTTAATATTACTGTGTATTTTTACAGGATTGTAGGTTTCTCTTAAAGGAATACCATTGTGATAGTTATCTGTAGTTTCCATATGACTACTTTTCATTAGTTATATTTTTACTGTAACCGGTGTCTTCGAAAATTCTTTGACTCCATAATTTTCCCTTTTTGATTATCGGGCGATAAAATTAGCTAAAAATGGGAAAAATTACGGAAGGAAGTACGATAGATACTTCACAATCTGCGTGACATCACTTCAGGTCTTTGATAAATTTAGTCGACATTTCGCGAAGTATATCTTTTTGAATTATTTTTATGTGTGTTTGAAGACCTCTTCAAAAAATTAGCTGACGAAAAAAAGACGTTAAAAAATTTAAAATGAAATCCCTTGCGATTAAATTTTCCACAGTTTTTGCAACTTGCTAGAAACTGCAGTTAATGACAAGAATTTCTAGTTTTTTATTTTAACACATCAGACGCCAAATGGAATTAAAATCTGTTCATTATCATTAGTTCCCGCAGATTAAAAGAATAAGATTCAAACTCAAAATTCGTGACCAACGTAATCTCAAAAAGTCTCGTTACCGAAATAGTTCGAATTTCCTTTTACCTGTATTTCTAAGTGTTGCGTAAAAATTCAAAGTTTTAAGTACCGCATACTCTTAATAATAATAATAATAATAATAATAATAATAATAAAAAAAAATCCAAATATTAAAAAACACAAAAAGTGCGACGCACTTCCTCGATTGCTTCTCAGACTGAGATAAAAATGATAATCGCGGATTTTAAAGCAGCAGTTGTTTGATTTATTCTTTAAAATATTTTGCTCCTTCATTAAGAAAGTAAGAGTTCAGTTCTTTGAACAAGTGAATATATTATTCTTTTAAACTTTTGCTGAAATCGAAAATTTGTGCTGCTTCCCAGAAAGTACATAAATCAACGTAGAAAAGACTATTTCAGTATAAAATTTGTATAGTGATTAGGCTTTTTTGATGCAGGAGACGTGAAAAATGAGCAATGCCCTCGCCGAGAATCGAACCCGGACCTCTCGAATACGCACCGATTGTGCTACCGTTACAGCCCGAAGACATGCTAGAAGGAGGGAGAAATTACCTTATAAACTTTTGTAAATGATGTCGCTATATGATCTAGCAAGAGAATTTTATTCCTAAAAGCCCTTGCCTAGAGAAGAAAACTATTAATTTAATTGTATTGCCAAATATGTAAGCATTGTTTTTTTAAAATTTATTATGGGCGCCCGACACATTTATGATTCGCGATACAATATTGTAAACGAACTCTGCCAATAGAATTATTATATTTATTATTCCCATTAAACTATATGATAAATTATTTCTCTCTTTTAGTGCATTAACTATCATATTCATTTTTAAATAAAAGCTTTTGCATAAAAGTCTTATACTTAACATTGTAGAAAATAAAACATTTTGTCTTCAGCGTGCGAGACTGTGTATCGGAAATTTCTAAAGATATGCTGTTTTTAAATATTTTGTGATATTGCTGATGAATTTAATTTTATGTGGCTTAAGTGGGAAGAGTATGATATTTAATAAATAAAGGTCACACACAAAACGTTAAAAAAATGCTCCTTTGGGTGTAATATAAGATTTGAATACTAGATTTGAATACAAATTTTTTTAATTAAATTAAATTTATTTAATTAATCACATTAAAAAGATTTTAAAATGCCTTAAAATAATTTCTCTTATTTATCTTTAAGAAATCTATGTTAAAAATGTTCATCTTAGTTTATATCCCGTCAGAAAAGCATTCAAAAAGTTTCTTTTGTTCTATTTCTGAAGAAATATTTCATAACTACCTCGCTTTATTCTTCATTGCTGAATACATTATAGATGCATTTTCTTGGATTAATTTTATGTCCCCTTCTTCTTTTTCCATGTTTATATCTCCATTAAAATGTATAAATTGTGTCCAAACTCCTTTCACAATTACTTAAAAGGGTCTTTTCAAAAGGTTTTAATGGAAGGAACATTCAACCTTTGCTCAAACTCGATTTTTATTTGTTGCTAAAACAATAATAAAAATGGCATACTCTTATAGGCTATTAAGGCTATTCCTAACAGAAAAAAAAAGGAATTCTAAAACATTTTTCGTGAAATTAACAAACACAATAGAAAAGAAAGAACATATCACGATTTGACTTTATATAGCGTTCGTCTAACGCTTTGAAAAAGAATTTAACATTACAAAAATTTAGAAGTTAAAAATACAAGAA